CCCCCCGTTGGGCACCATTCGATTGGACCAATGAACTCCCACCAGCTAAGGTGCCAATCAACAGATATTACCAGGGCTCAACCAATGACCAAATGACACGAATCCAGCCAGGAGGACTTAAACCCCCGGGAATGTGCCCATAGGTGCTCTTGAGCCATTCTCTCTCGTTTCAGCCCGCTCCATCCTTTCTGGAGTATATTCTATATTCTGTCTTTGTTAAATAAAACTGCTCTTTGTTTTTTACCTCTGGCGTGTCTCATCCAATTCTTTGTTTGAGACACCAAGAACCCGGACTTAGCCAGCAGAACTCCTCAGTTTCCCTCAACACTGTCATGAGAATTGAGAGAGGAACCTAATAGCTACAGACCCATAGGCTCACCATAAACATGGAGCTATGGAGGATTCGAACCCTGGAAAACCGATTCCAGAGCCAATAGTTAGCTGCACTCTGTGATTCCCTAACCTGGGATTTTGTTTTAGTCATGGACCTGGTGGGCAGTCAGGAGGGGATTGTAACCTGTTCCTTGCACCACAAGGCCCAATAGTCAGGGTTTGTAAAACCGGAGATGTGCCGACAGGTACAAACTTTACAAAACCATGTGTAGTTTGGTCTGATGAAGTCCACTGTTTCAGAACTGCCTTTATATTTATTTATATTATGAAGGCATCAATGACCCTCACAGACCAAAATGTTTCCCAGACTGTGCATTACAGAGCATCCCCTACAAACAGAACTTGAAAAGCCATGGCCTAGAGGTGGCACCTGAGCATCCATGTCTGAAGAGAGGAAGCTGGTGATGGCACCTCCAGAGTCCCCAGGTTGCAGCTTCCAGCTCCACCAGAGAACCTCTGGGACAAGCTACTGCCACTGGCACCTCTCTCCAGGGCCTTGCTGAGGGTTCTTTTCCCTCCAGGAAGAAACAAACCTGTTCCAGCCTAGGCTCCACCAGAGGGAGCAGCGCACTTCCTCCATGGGGGACTCTGTGACTTGGGCCTTTGGGGTGAAGCATCTGTGAGGCTCTTAGGGATCCAGGATGAACTGCACGGCAGGCTGACAGATGACAGGACAGACACAGGATGGGAGGGAGCCAGGAAACATCTGGTGGGTTGTTTCAGACTCTACCAGTTCACGAAATCTCCCCGGGAAACTCACACCTTGCCTCCTACCAAGTTTTCAAGACAATAAAGCTCTGCCCCCGCTGAGCTCCATTTTTCTTGAGTAGAAAACTGTTGAAATCATCAGATCCATGACACCCACCCCACTCTCTCCTAAAGGTTGGAATTTTCAGGTTGGCTTCAAGACCCTGGTCTACACACTTTATAACACCTTCTTTTGCCTGCACAGTCAGCCTGAGCAGGTGGGGGAGTCCCTCCCAGCAATCTCCTCTGCATTCCTGCAGCTCCCACACACAGGGCAGACCACATGGCCAAGGGGACGTGTGTGCACAAGCACACACACATGCACACACATAGGCATACGAACATGAACACTGTGGTGGTTCCAAACTCAGCAATCTCCTCTGCATTCCTGCAGCTCCCACACACAGGGCAGACCACATGGCCAAGGGGATGTGTGTGCACAAGCACACACACATGCACATACATAGGCATACGAACATGAACACTGTGGTGGTTCCAAACTGGGGCTCCATGGTCAGACTGCTGCCTGGATTCGAATTCTTGCTGCGCCTCTTATTCCGTGATCTTGGACAAGTGACTGAATTTCCCTATGCCTCAGTTTCTTCTTCTAGGAAATGGGAACAATAACAGTGCCTACCTCCTTAGAGGGATTGTGATGGTAAAATGAGCCACCCCACTAGTGCAGCAACTGGCACACACTAAGTGCTTGATAGTGTTAGCATTCATTGTCTAGGTCAGTGAATGAACTGAACGCATGTGCACGCATGACTCAGTTTACATGTACACATACACACACAAACACATGTCTGCTGCAGAGAGCTACATCAATTACATTCAGGCGTACCCCAGAGCACTACACTTCTCTGAGATGATGTCTGGAAATTTAGAAATTACCCCCTGTGCCCTTTAAGGCATTTTACATTCTTTTGCTTTTCCAAAAAGATGAATCTTCCCGCCCCATCTGTAAGTGAGACACGGCATCCCCTCAAGCCTTCGGGTCAAGGGAGATACATGAAAGCTCCGCAAACAGCCACGAGGCGGGGCTCTGAGGCACAAAGCAGCCGTGAGGAAGTGCTGGCAGACACGTTAGCACGGTCCTGGTGGCAGCCTAGAGGAAGAAGGCCGTGGCTGAGCACGCATCCATGTCTGCCTCCACAGGGAGACCTCAAACTCTGCACAGACCAGGGCCACGGATCATTGGGTGCTGTGTTCCTGTGGCCATCATGGAGCTGGCAGAGGATGATGGGCAGACAGGTGGGGCCCAGGGGGTCAAGGCAACAGTCACCTTGGGTGCTAAGGTCCAAGCCAGGCTTCTCAGGCCAGGCGAGGGCAGGGCGAGGCCTGCAGTAGTGGAAAGGGAGTTGGCCAGCTGGGAAGAGAAGATCAGGAGGGTAGGTTGAGGCAAATGTCTCTGCCTCATCCAGGCCTTGGTGGGAGCAGCCCAGACCCTCTAGCTGGGGCGGAACAAGGCTGTGCTTCCTCCCAGTTCTTCAACCTCTGTAGCCCACACTCAAGCAGAACCCCGGGGTTTGGG